TGCATGAGAAGTAGCAGTTCGTGCCTCTTTAAGGGATGCTTGTAAAGATATTACATAAAAATTTATTAATAAAATTCATTTGTTTATCAAAAAAAATATTGTGGAAAGAATTGAGAGGAGATTGGTTTATTAGAAGCGTCTTATCAAGCTTTCCAACATATTGTTTATCATTGTTAAGGGTGCCATCATAAGTTGCAAAGAGAGCGGGGAAAATTCAAAGGGATTTCTTATGGGAAGGAGTGGGAGGGGGGGGGAGGCAAGAAGTTTCATTTGGTTAAGTGGRAAAAAGTTTATAAACCAAAGGAGGGGATGGTGTTTGAGGTTTGGGAGGGTGAGGGTGTTTAATAAGGCATAAAGGAACAATAGATCTTTTATTACTTACAGGATAATAGTTTCTACAATGCTTTGAAAACTCACATGGCTCACAATGTAAACTAGTGTTTTAAAAGGCGTGGGATGTGTATATTTGGAGGTGCACCTCTAGGCGAGGTTCCCCCAAAACGCCCTAAGGTGTATGCTAGAGGCGTTGACATCATTGAGGCATATGCCTTGTACGCCTCATGCACACCTTATATAAAAAGATGGAAAAAGGAAAAAAGAAAGAAAAAAGAAAAAAAGGAAAGGAAAAGAAAAGAGAGGGAAGAAAAAGAAAAAAAAAGAAAGAGAAGAGAAAAAGAGAAAAGAAAGAAAAGGAAAAGAAAGGGAAGGAAAGAAAAGATAAGGGGAAATGAAATCCCCCCTTTTAACTAGTGCTATGCATCTTCATTCTTTGTAATATAAAAGATTTTTATTAAAAATAAAGAAAATGAGATCCTCCTTCCTCTTCTTCCTCCTCCCCTTCCTCCTCCTCATCCCCTCCTCTTAGGATGCTTACACCTCCTTGTATTCAGGAGGCTTACGCCTCTTACTTTCTGAACTACACCTCACACCTCTAGGTAGTGTAATGCCTCGCGTCACGCCTCCACGTTTTAAAACATTGATGTAAGCTGGACAGATTTATTCCTTTAAATATAGTTGGAAACAAAAGACTCAATGAAGAAAAGGAAAGATGACCCTGACGATAGTGACAAAACATATCACAATTAACTGACTGACACATTTGATCCAAAAATTGTTCTTTGAGGTGGTACTTGATTTGGCTCAGGCATGTCCAACAGGTATATCCCATTTGCCTCATAGCCAGTCCTAATCACCTTCTGAGATTTCATGTCATGAAAAACACAATAAGAATGAAAGAAGGTTGCACTATAATTCAAGGATTTTGTCAAATTACTAACTAAAAGGAGGTTATTATCAAGCTTAGGTGCATGAAGGATTGAAGATAAAGTGRGGGTGTCCAAAGTTTTGATGTCTCCCTTGCTTGAGATGGGAGCAAGAGAGCCATTAACAAGGGAAATTTTGTCTTGTCCAGATAAGAGATGGTAGGTAGTAAATAAATGGGACATACCGGTCATACAATTGGCACTAGAATTTATTATCGAAGGGATCCTATAATTACCTAAGAAACATGGTTCACAATGTCACAAATATCTGAGTGGGCATAAGGTAAAGAAGAACCACTCCTTGAGGAAGTAGGAGCTGTAGTAGTAGACTCTAAGTGGCTGATGATGGGACCATACTTCTCATACTCTACTTTGGCAGCTGCAAGTTGTTCCCTCACAAAATTCTCATTGCTAGGCCCTTTTTCTCATTCTTAGAAGAGGTGGTTGCATTAGCATTGCCATCTTTCCCACTCCCATTTCTTCTTGCAATTATCATTGTTCTTGAATTTAGGAGGCAAGAACTTTAGATGTAGCTTTCAACATGTGTCTTTTGTGTGTTTGGGCTTCTTAAATTATTAACACACGATATCTTTCTTCTCAATGGTAACCCTTGGCTTCATTCTGGCATTAGCAAAGTGATTTACTAGAGCTTCCACAATTTGGACTGGTTTGCTACTCTCCTTACTACTAACCATAGCATAAACTTGAGATAGGGTCACCTCATCCTTCGCTAGAATATTTTTTTTGACAAAATCATATTCAAAATTGAGTCCAATAAGGAACTCAAAGACCCAATTTCTCTCCACGAACTTCCTATGAGTCTTAGAATCTTTCGTGCATCCCCACACAATAGTTTCCATCAAATCAATCTCCTTCCAAAGAGATTTTAGCCTTGAGAAGTATGTGGCTAAGGGCTTCTCCCCTTGTCTTAGATTATTCACATCATTCTTTAGTTTGTAAGCCCTAGCAGCATTCAACTTCTGGGAATAAGTTTCCATAACATTGTCCTGCTCCTCCCTTGCAGTATCCATCCATAGGTAGTGTTGGCTGATATGAGGTTGCATGGAATTTATTAGTCAGCCTACAACTATGTAGTTTTCCTACATCCAATTCTCATAGGCTGAGTCATCCTCCTTGGGTTTCTTCTTACTCCCAGTGATGTGCTCCCATTTCCCTCTACTGCTGACATTGATCTTTATTGATTGAGACCATGCCACATTATCGGTTCATCTAACTTCGCTATGGTTACTGCTCTTAATAGAGTCTCCACAAACCATCCATTGCCGAACCTAGAGCTTGTAGGTTGTTTTGTCTCACTTCCAATTTGCTCCATTAGCTAAATGGAAACAAACAAAAACAAAAATAGGGTACTACTAATCAAGAACCATTGACCTGAAGCCAAACCTACTTGTTAATCACCCCAAACTAGGGTTTCATAGAATTTGGCAACCAAGGAGAAAGAGAGAAAGTGAATCTACTCCTACCAGGAACTCTAGAACCCTTTCCAACATTAATCGATCTCAATGTAGGTCAAGAAACTTCCCTTCAAGCCCTAAGCGCTAGTTTAAAACTGTCTCTAGACCCCTTAATACAATTTCTCCAATTAGCTAGGTTTTCAGGAAAATCTCCAAGAACCTCCCCCGATTGGGTTGTATAAGTTGTCAATCAATCAACCAATCAATTCTCCATACACACTGTGTATGGGCCTAAATGAAGAAACTGAAGCAGTTGGGAACCTGTTTTGATACCAAGTTGTAAATACACCTGCAATAAATCTGAAAATAAACCAAAAGAAAGAAGAGAAAGAAGGAAGAAAGAAAAGAGCTTATCTTTCCTCTTTTTAGTCTCCTAAAACACTTTTATTAGATCTAATTGTAATTTAGATATACAAGGATGCCCTTAGTAGGGCGGCTAGCTCAATAAAGATAATAAGATTGCAAACCAAGGCCCATAATTAAGGCCCACTAATAAAACATAAACACCACTACAATAAAAGAAAAGAATTAAGGCCCAGTCAGCTCAGTATCTCTATAGAAAAGGTACAGGTTATGCACTTCACATCCTTTCTTACAATGTGTCTTACTCTTCTTTGTCACCTTCACTTCATTCTTTTGTGTCTAGTATTTCCTTTGTCTCCAAACCCCATAGTGTGTTTGAGGTTATGGGAAAGCCCAAGTGGAAGGCAGCCGTGGTGGACTAAATGTATAATTTATTAAAGAATGAGGCCTATGAGTTATTAAATCTTTCCAATGGAAAGAAATCCATTGGATGTAAATGGGTTTTTATTGTCAAAGCATAAGGCTGATGGATTGGTTGATAAGTACAAGGCCATTTTGGTTGCCATAGGCTACATTTAGAATTACAAAATGGATTGTATATAATTTCAACAAATCTCCTTGAAAACATAGGTTCTACTTGTAAGACAAGTAGAGGCTGACCTTGTAAGGTGTGGGACCCACTAAGATATCAGTCCAAAATTAAATTTAAATAAAACCCAGCACTCTAAGAATATGGGACCCACTATGGCCAAATTCTCTATGTCTAACATAGTAGATCATCGACAAGTGTATTGCGCTCTAAAATCGGCCAATATCATGTGTCTAGGTTTCGACCATCCTATGAGCCTAGATCTCTTAATTTGAATTGATAAATGTCCATCAGGTATTAGCCCAATCAGACATTTGCTGATAATCTCCCAGCCAATAGTATCAAAACATTGTTGATAGGGAAGGACCACTTCCCTAGCTGGGAAGCAGTGTCACACTTTGCTCAGATGGATTTTGTGATTAAAACCATTTGCAATCCCCTTTTCAAAATAAACCATTTATTAATATAAATGCGTTTTGCAAATCTGGTTTCAGAACAAGTTGAAATCCATTGCCAATAGTTTTAGGTTTCCATTAGAGAGTAAACGGGGATATTCTTTTTTTTTTTCAACAAAGTGACTGAACCTATGACAATGATCACTCACTCAACTACCCTTTTGATCTACTTCAACATACCAAGGTATTTGACCCCAGAATGATCTCATTGGTTGGCATATCAAAAGCAGACTTGTCTATACTGAGTGCAATATCATCATCAAGTTAGGAGATCTTATGCAATTTTCGAGATTGATCCACCAGTATCCAAGATCCAAGATTAAACTAGAAATGGTCCCATTTAGTTTTTTTAAAACGCCCACTTCTTGTACCTTAGGTCCAACATGAGCAGTTGAAACAAACTACTCTACCAGTTCAGGAGTACAAGAATGTCAACCCGCATTACAAACTACTCAAGTTTGTTCATTGGTTTATTCTTGAATGTGTATTCAACTTAGGAGGCCTCTTAGGTTCAGAACTAAGAAACGAAAAAAGATGGATCATTGTAACATATACAAAAGAGAAGCCAGTTGAGATTGTTTTCATCATTTAAGAGGGTTTATTGTTGACATAGAAGATCCCTTATGTGAATTTAGCTTCATTGTGGAGCCACCTGCTCGATGTTGTTAGTTGTAATATTCAAACATTAGCTGTATTCATGGTACATATTTTTGTTGAGTATGGCATAATTTGCAAAATAAGGGAAATTATGTTATTCCAATATTATTAGTATCTAACCTAAAGAGGCTGGGAAATTAGAATGTCTTAGCCATTCATTTAAAACGTTCTTTCTTTTTTATTCTCTTCTTCTTCCTTTCTCTTATTTTCTCTCTTCTAATCTGCATAGCTTTCATAGTGAAATCCTTCTGTTCTACAGATTGACAAGATATGTAAGGTGGCAAATAAGCCTCTGGTCATAACTTACACAGGATTGATTCAAGCTTGTTTGGACTCTGGAAATGTTCAAGATGGAGCTTACATCTTCAGTGAAATGCGCAAATTGTGCTCCCCAAACCTGGTGACTTGTAATATAATGCTAAAAGCTTTTGTGAAAAACGGAATGTTTAATGAAGCAAAAGATCTATTCCAACAGATGTGCGATGGCAGCAGTAACATTAGCAGCAAAGCTGATTATGCGAACAGAATAATACCTGATGATTACACATTTAATACTATGCTAGATGCGTGCACTGCAGAGAAGAAGTGGGATGATTTCAAGCATGTCTATCAAAGGATGCTGGATCATGGCTTCCATTTCAACAAAAAACGCCACCTTCGGATGATCCTCGAGGCTTCTAGATCCATAAAGGTATTCTTTGGTTCTCATATTCCAATGAAATTTAGAAACCTTGACTGCACCTGGGTGGATATGCATATGGATTCTTGAACCCATTACATAGTAGTACATATGAGTTCGTGACTTCATATGTGCATGGAGTAATCCACAAAGTTGCATATCCCATGTAAATATTTCCCAATTTAATTCAACTAAACTAAGCCTTGTCCTAGTTACATGGGTTTGGTTAGATGAATCCTGTTCCACTATTCCACTCTATTCAGCAGCAGAACAATTATTTTGCAAAATTGATTGAGAAATAAAGGAGAAAAAGTGAAATATAAAGAAAAAGAGGGCAAATGGTTACAACAAGGTTTAAAATGTTGGTTTTGGTGGAAATATCAGCCAATTAAATAAGAAAATATGTCAAAAATATCAGAATTACATATATGTTTATTGTAAAAATTTTATAATGTTGTAATATATTAAATGAGTTTAGAAAGAAAAGAACCATACGAGAACAAACTGTTTGTATGATTATTCGTCAAAAAAAACAAACAAACTGTTTGTATGATACCATACATGTAAGTTAATAAGCTTTTCTTTATATAACTAACAAGGCAAAACTTGTTGAATATATATAGTATAAGATATTTTAAAATCACATAATATATTGAGATATATTCCAATGGCATTTATGGTAGTTTCCATGGAAATGAAAATATTTAGACATTTTAAACCATGAGATACAAGTAAAAGTAATCAAAGGAACTGTGTTGAAATAGTTTATTTTATTTCTTGTCTATTAATTTTGTCATGTTAGGGTCCGTTTGGTTGGTTAAATGCCTTTTTTATTTTCTGTTATTGTACTTTACTTACAGCAGGGGCACAAAGGCCTTTTCCCTTTTATTTTAGATGCCCTATAAGTACTAATAGAAGCTGGCGCCGCCAGCACTGTTCCATTGGTTGCCAATCTCTCCTCTTCTCCTCTCTTCTTCTCTTCCCTTTTCTCTCTTATTTCTGGCCGGTCACACTGTCAAGATGGTATCAGAGCGGGAATACTGACTGTGAGAGCAGATCGAACAAGCTTTCTTTCCTTGCTGAATCTGGGCGGAACAGAGAACTGAATTTGGGCTGAACAAAACAGATCTATGACTGGTACAGTCCTCTCTTTTTTCTTTCTTTACCTTCCTTGGCCGTGTGCCAAGAGAAAAATCAAATGAATATGGGCTGCTGAATGCTGTCAGACCTTTGTGAGGTTTATACCTCCTTTTTTTTTGGATCATGTGATCCTATACCTGTTAAAAGGTGACTGTAGGTCATGGATGACCTGTTATCTCCAGTTTTTGGCTTGATTATAAGTGTTAAGGATCTCTCATGATGATTAATATTCTTAGACATTCTGGAAGGTTGGTAGGTTGGGACTGTTAACCCGTATAGGTCTGAAATCAGTTTGATCTTGCCTCTTTTGTTTGGAAATTGGTGTTGTTTTGTGCTCAGATTGAGTCCAAACCGAAGTGTGTGTGTGTGGACTGAGTACGTGTGCGTAGCAATTTTTTTTCTTGGTGAAAGGAGGGATCCTAAGTTGGGTGTTGAGACTGAAATTCTGTTTTGACCATGTCTTTTGAGAATTCTGCTACTTCGGGGGTTTCAGGAAGTCATAATGGACTGAGTGGGGGAATGGATATGAATTTTCCCATGGTTGTAATCCCCTTCGATGGACTAAACTACCTTGAATGGTTTAGGGGAATAAAACTCTACATCACTGCTAGAGGGACAATAGGATATATTAATGGGAAAGTGAAGGAACTGAAGAATGGAAGTGCTGAATATGATAGGTGGAACCAACAAAATAGTATGGTGATGTTATGGCTTTTGGTTTTCATGTTGCCACAAGAAAGAATGACATTCATGTGGGCTGAAACAATTTGTGAAATATGGGAACAGGTAGGAAAGTCTACTTATTCAGAGCAAAGGCACTATGCCAAGATATACCAATTGCAAGTTGAATCCTCTACTTGCAAGCAGGGCGAGAGGAGTCTCTCAGTATACTACTCAAATATAATATCGATGTGGAAAGAACTGGATTACTATCAAAATCTGAATTGGAAGTGTGATGAAGATGCAAAGGCATATAAGTCACTTGTCTCTCAACAACGGGTATTTGCTTTTCTCTTGGGGTTGTACCCTTCATATGAGTCCATTAGAGTACAGATCTTGGGAAGTAAAGAAGTGTGATGAATTGTGTAGAGGGGGAGCTAGTTGCCCTAGTTGTCCGGGGAAGTACAAATACTAATGTCAGAGGTTCCTTTAACCATGACATACAAAGGACACCTGCTGGAAGCTTCATCCTGAACTTCTTCCCGATAGGTTTAAGAACAATAATAACCCTAAGAAGGGCAGTCAGGTGGGAAAATCTAAGACTGCTACAGTGCCTGAGGGGGGAAGTAAGGAAAGTGAAGAAAAATCAACTATTGAGCAATTGGCTGCAATGAAGCTGGATTTTGAGAAGTATGGGAGGCTCCTAAATCTCCTGGAAGCTACGGTTTCTTCAAGTCACCCTTCCAACAGTACATCATCTTCATCAGCTTTTGCTCACTCAGGTACATATGCCTCAGCAAATCATGCTTTAGTTTCAGGTAATCATAAACTCCCTTGGATTATAGATTCCGGTGCATCAGACCATATGACCAGCCTATCTAACCTTTTTTGTTCATACCATCTCCTCTCTGGGAAAGACAAAATATCCCTGGCCGATGGGTCACTCGCCCCCATCTCTAGTAAAGGAGATATAAATACCTCTGACACCCGGTTCTTATCTTCTGTCCTCCATGTTCCTAAGCTTAACACAAACCTTTTATCTGTTAGTAGCTTAACAAAGTCCGTGAACTACAGCATAACCTTCTTTCCCACTCATTGTGTTTTTCAGGACCAGCAGTCTCAGAGGACGATTGGGAGTGACCATGGGGCGAACGGAATATACCTGTTGGACACACCAGATCAAGCCTTGGGACCACCTCATGGAGTTGCTTTAGAGTCAGTTGTGTCATAGTCTGTTAACAAAATTTTGTTGTCATTTTCGGTTTGGTCATTTGTCTTTTTCTGCTTTAAGTCATCTATTCCCGGATATGTTTAAAGGAGTGTCTTTATCTAGTCTTCATTGTGAGTCATGTGAGCTAGCAAAGCATTGTAGACATTCCTATTCAATCAGTAATAAAAGATCTCTTTCTCCTTTCCATATTGTTCACTCTAATGTGTGGGG